ACGAATAATTGCCGGGAAAACCCTAAAAACAGCCCTTTTCTTCTTTAATCGAGTAGGCAACGCAATTTGTAAAAAAAACAATGATCTATGTCATGACATTTTGTGTAATTTTTGATAATCTAATTTCGAATATATTTATATAAACATAGAAATATCTTTCTATTAATCAAGCTATATTGGCAGCCAAAAACATTGATGTAAATTAATTAAATTTCAAAATTCAAGAACAAATTACAGGCGAATCAGTTGATTCGGCAACTAACCAAGACGATCCACCGGAGTTTTTAAACTCCGCTAGGATTTTCACCTCACAATCTTCAGTTAAAGGTTGGATCGGCAGTTATAATGTTGCGAAATATCGACTAACTATATTCAAAGGATAGTATAAAACAGAAGATGTTCTCGCACCATGCATCCAATGCGTTTCCAGTGCGTTCATGGTATCATTAAGTGTTTGTGGTATTAATTTAGAAAACCCATGTTTCTCACATGGAAAATTGTATGTTGTTTGTTCCCGTATTGCAAAACCATCAGATTTGTTTGTCTATGCGCCAGGTAATCAAACAAAAAACATCGTTCATCACAAAACACTACAATGAAAATTGAACTGATTTTTTAATTATGATTTACATTATCAAAATTACTTACTTTTAAATGCTTATAGTGTTTTATTTAATTATTTTTAATTCACACTGAATTATTACCAGGGTGACGGTTCTGTTCAGGATAATTTTTTGCAAAGAATAGAAAAAAGGTAGGCACAAAACACCGCCACATTACAATTTTTTTTTTGCAGGACGAAGTCTGTCGGGCCGGCTAGTATTAATATAAAAATATTAAAAAGGTTCGCAAATTTTAATTTTTTTTCGTAAATTTTGAGTATTTTTGCAAATTTCGAAACTTTTTAAATAAAACGATTTGATTTTTCCTTTAATTCTTTGAAAATTTTTTAATTTTTTGATATTTTAGATAAAATTACGAAAATTTGAAAAAAATGCATATTTGATTTTTTTCGGAAATTTGAATATTTTAAAATTACTGAACTGCGTTTCCTAAACTAAACACGCCGCTAAATATACACAATAGCTATTTACAACATAAAAACTGAACGCTTCCAAAATCGAAGTACATAAATCAAGTACGCATTGATATTTACGTGACAAAATACAGCTTTCCTATTGGACACTGAAGGTATCAAAATAATTAATCCATCGCCGACTAGGACATGCTCTATTCGTAAAATGATTTATCATATCGTTGCTAGGTAACAAACTGTCCAGCATGAAATCTGGCGTCGTGTGCACCGGGCTTTAAATTATTATTAATATAAGGCAATTCATACATTTCATTTTGGAAATTAGCCGTGCAATTTTAGCACTAGCAGGTACTCTCTTGGGCGACATATTTATGAAAGGTTACGATCCTAGACAATATACTACTACTGGTTACGATTGTAAAGGAAAAAATAGAAAAGAAATATAATGACTTTACCTGTATGTCCGGTAAATGCTATTATATACTTGCGGAAAGTGGTACTTTGTTCTTGCAGGTTAAATCGGAAGTTTGGAAAAACTCTCAATCTTAATTGCAAATCCGGCTGGACGAGCCAAAAATGTGACTTGACTTTGATTAGAAATAATCAGACCACCAAAATTGCTAGTTAATCTCGAACAATGGAATGTATTTTTAAAAATAAAACTTTTTTTGATAATCGACTAAAAACAATAACTCTAAATAAGAAAAGAAAACTTAACGAAACTCTCACTAAGTACCGAAACTATTAAAAATTAAAGAATTCGAACGAAAGTTAGGTAAATTTATCACTGAAACTGAACCATGAAGGAAGGCGGTTGTAATCTGCAAGGTAGATTAATTTAGAAATATCTGTACAAACTAGCACTAGACTGAAACTCGAATCGGATTAGATTCGGATGAGGCTAGACCAAGGATGAGCAACCCGCGGCCCGCCAAGCATTTCTCAACAACAGATTATTTTTTTTAGATATTTTATCAAATACGGCTTTAAATTAATTTATTTAAATATTAGTTAAAGCTTCAATATTGCAAGAAAAATTGAGATCTTGTCCGAAAACATAGCAAAAACGCATTTCTAAATTTAAAATAATTAAATAAGTAAATATTATAAAGTCGCGAAGGTTAAATCATCGTAAATTTGAAGAATTCCTGACAATTTAGATCGTGAATATGTCAATTTTCAATACTATAGTTCGTTAGCTTAATAGTGATGCAATGCTTAAAGGAGTATACGACATTTCGTCATTTTGGTAATAAAGTCTTGTGTTTTACTTTTCATATTCAAAAAAAGAAAATGTGAACAAATTTCAATTGTGATGCAAAATAATACAGATTTAAAAAATGCATTTTTTCAGTAAACATCGAATGTCACACACTCAATCCAGACAACTCTTTTTTGTGGACCTGTGCTAATTTCAACCATAAAATTCATAAAAAATTACCACCTATCAAAACTGAGTAAAACATATCAAAGCTGCATACGCGTTGCTACTTACCGCCTTAAAAAAATTAAAATAAAGAACAAAATCTAAAAAAACGGCTGATATTGATAAGCTCATATAAAAAAAGCTGTGTCAAATTTTTTATTAAAGTTTTCAAGTAAAATTATTTTTCTTTTAAATATTATTTGTTTTCATTTTGTATTAATATTCATAAATACTTATAATATTCACTCGTAATTTTATAAAATATATACTTTGTTCAGTTTTATATTTTTGTTCTTTTCTTGTGGCAATTTTGTAATTTTGTTGCAATTACATTATTCCCGCGCTCAGTCAATAAATCTTTTGATTTAATTTTAGATCAGACTTCTATCAGAGTTTATGAAAAAGCTTCAATTTTATTTAAAAAAAAGTTATTTATTTTTTATCACTTTGTTCTTTACTTTAATTTAGATGCGAAATGAAAAACTACACACGACTCTAAATTTTAATTGTTTTATAATAGTCATTTTAGTAGTCCAATCATTTTTTATATAGCTCGGTAATCGATCAAATAACTATTATCGCCTTTTTTGTAAACGCTTTTAATTGAAATTCGATCAAGATTTTTCTGAGCTTATAACAAAGCTTAAATTTATCCGCTCTATCCACTGCAACATTTTAAAAATGCCAACGAAATGGTTACCTCCGATAAAACTGATTTGCAGGCTTATCCTATTGTACAAATATTTTTCGATGTGCATAATAAGTAAGTTACATAGTTTTTTAATGTCTCACAAAAGGAGCTATTTCAGCAAAAAAAAATAGAAATTTAATTGTAAAATCAGTAGATGAAACTCTTTTTGATAGATAACTGGATTTTTTTTCAGAGTATAATATAATTACAATATGGATGTTAGTATTTTAGCGTTGCAGTGAGTAAATTATCAATGTAATAATATTTATACATTCAGAATTAGTTAGTCATTTCTTATACTAATAATTTTCTAAAAATATTTTCGACAGCTAAACGTTCTCCGGGTCAGCTAGTATATATATATATATATATATATATATATATATATATATATATACGAGGTCTGTTCAAAAAGTACCCAGAATTTTCGTTTTTTCAAAAAAATATTTATTTATTCGTCTACATTAATGTGGTCCCCTTCAAAGTAGTCCCCCCCAGATATAATACACTTATGCCAGCGTTTTTTCCAATTTTCGAAGCACCCTTGATATTCACTTTTTGATATGTCCTTGAGCACTCTCAGCGATTTTCTTCAATCGAGGAAAACCGCCGTCCTTTCATGGGTCTCTTCAACTTTGGGAATAGGAAACAGTCACACGGAGCCATATCTGGTGAATTTTTGCACTTTGCAACACTTTATTTCATTTTTTACGCAAAATTTAATACAAATTCTTTGACTTTTCAATTCTTCCATTGTAAAAATCGCCGAGCTCAGAAAAACACGTCGAACCTTAGCGACTACCACAGACAAAGTAAACAGTGAATATAGCTGAAAATTTCATCATACTTTAGGGGCATGTATACCAACACAATAAAAAAAAATTTTGACAATCAGACACTCCAGACCCGCGAAATTTAATTATTAGTAATTCCGGGTACTTTTTGAACACACCTCGTATATATAAATTACGTGCGGCCCGCCATAAAATTTGAAAATTTAAATTGGCCCGTGGGTTAAAAAGGTTGCTCGCCCTTGGACTAGACTGACTCGGAAGAAAAACTCGAAAATCGACCAAATACGTCAAAAAACCGAATTCGTCCGAAGCCTCAATGAGACCGAACTCGGAAACAAATTAAATTGTCATAATTATTTGAAATTAATAATCACATAAAAATTGAAGAATGATTGAAATTAGTTAAAACCATATAAGAAAATAAAATAATTGTAATTAAAAATTATGTGAAAATTGCAAGATCCTAATTTAAATTATTTATAAAATTGTGAAATTACTTAAAAATCATGAAAATGATAAGATATTAATTAAAATTAATCGACCTCCATATGATAAATAGAATTGAAATCAACTAAAATCAATATTAAAACGTATGGAAATGGCAAGATTATTAAAATTAATTGAAAATCATGAAATATGCAAGATGCTAATTCAAGTCATTTAAATTAAATAAAAATCATATGAAAATTTGGAAATTACAAAACCATATTTTAATTATTTAAAATATATTTAGATACTTAAAATTGCAAGATCGTTGAAATTAAAACCAAATAAAAATTAAAAACCTGAATCAGAATTGACCTCATATCAATGCATGAGTCAAACAATTTTTTGCAAGAAAAGGGACAGGAAACCTGGATTAAAAAGGAATAGTTTTGTTGATGTATTGCAAACCTGAGATAGCAACTAAATTAATATCTGAACACAATAATCCTCAATGTGGAGTCACCAGAAGTCATTTGTTCTGACTTTTTAAGTAAGTAAGATTGAGATACCTTAATAACTATGTAAACCCTAAAATTAAAAAGTAATTAAAGTATAAAATCTACCTTTATTTGGAAAATAGTACGGCAATATCACAAGGTAATGAAAAAATTCATATAAGGCAACAGTTTACAATTTAACAAGAATATATTTAATATTCAGTAACAGGACGTTTGGCCACCCATTCCTTAACTTTTGGTAGAACGAGTACATTATCTACAACTGCTTTGAGATTTGGATGTTTTGCTAGTAAGTCCAGCCTGGCCATGGCACTCATATAATCGATCATTCCAGCCCAAGCAAAATCAGCCCATGTTAACTAAATAGAAAATAAAACAATGTACAATGTAATATAAATTGTTAACATTAATTGTGCACAAGATATGAATATAGAATATAAAGAACATGATATGTGCATTATATTTATATATATATATATATATATATATATATATATATATATAAACAATAGTAAATGAACAGAGCAAAATTGATACCTTTTTCAAAGCTAGATGGCCATCATTGGATTTAGCAACAGCATCTAATTTGTCCAAATAATAAGGAATAACATCTGCTAAAACTTGCTGGTATTTTTTTTCTTTTACTGCCTCATCTGCTTCGTAATGTGCTGCAGCTAGCTCTACAACATAATTTCATCAAATTACACCAGAATAACAAAATGCTTTGAGTAATAAATTTTCACAGTATGAAAGCGCATTTCGAAATAAAACCAGACATACCTCTGTACGTCTGATTTACAGGTTCTTTTAATATTTGAAGGTACATACTTTTTTAAACTCGCTTTTTATTTTAACAGTAAAAAAAATATATGGAAAATAACTAATATATTCAAAATTGTCTGAACTATAATTTAGAGCAAATAATCCCGAATGATCTGTTTGTACATAAAGTTAAATCAATTTTGGTAAGTTGCAAATAATAATTAAATTGATGTGGCAAATTGACAACACAAAAAATTGCTTGAGTATTCTGTACGCGAGACAAATAATTCCACTATAACTATTCAGAAAAATTTAAATCATTTTAAAATATTTGGTCAACATACTTGCTCTAAAATCATGAACTGTGTCCACAATAGCATCAATTTCAAGATTCTCAAGATCAGTACTTCCTGCAAGATTGTATTTCTTTCCTAGGTAACGACACAAGGCAACACTTTGGTTCATTTTACGGCCATCCCATTCAAGAACTGGCACTTGACCAAAAGGCATAGCTGTAAACACAGTTTAGCATATAATGAATCCATTAGAAACATTATTAGTTGTTTTATAAGCACTATTATGTAACTTTAAACTATTTAGTATCAGTAATTACACATTGCATGTTGTGTACATAAATGTATGTATTGTGTAAAATAAACATATATTGAATAAAAAATTTAAATCTATGTTAGAACAATTAAGAATTGGCTTTTGAAAATAATATATCTATACAAATATCTAATTTAATTCATACTTGGTTTGATTGAAGGCCAATCTTCACGATTGAATCGGTAATCTTCAAAATCTTCTCCTCCATAAGAAATTAGCATACGTAAAGGTTCAGCAAGAGCCTTCACAGGGAAATAAGTTAACTTGTAGGCTGGCATTGTTAACAATCTGTGAATGTAAGATATTTTATACAAAATTCTTATAAATAACAAATAAGGATACTGATCAAAGACACTACTTAAACACTACTGTAATAATGTATACAAAAAACAAATCATTCATACATTTATATCCATATAAAAGAGAAAACAATTACGTGACCTCTAAATTATATAGAAAGAGATAAGATCCCTAATCTTTTAGGACATCTTGTTAGATATCTTTTAAATTGAATTTATTATTATAGCTATACAACATATATGACAAAAATGGAGTAAAACATTATTAATTTCCAATTATCAATTTTGTTTGATAACGTTTGCAATCACAATATCACTTAATGAAAAGTAGTACCGAACAAAATTGGCAGGTTACGCACAATGAATAATCAAAGCAATAATATTGTGCAATAAAATATCATTATTATAAAATATAGAACATAAATACCTTTAATATGTAGCAATGTATCGAAAAATAAAAGGTCACACAGGCCGACAAATGAATCGACTGAACTGGACTGAATCAACAAGCTAATTTGATTATTAGCGGTATCAATGAGTATCCATCATAAAACAAACATCAGGACCATAGATAAGAGAAATATAATAGATAGCAATGTCTGTAGCTCCACAATTTTAATTCTCCATACTGGTCATAGGGGCGTGACATAAGTAGCACGTGAATTTACCACTTCTTGACAAAGTTTTTATCAAAGTATTTAGACAAAGTATTTAGACAAAGTATTTATATTTTGGAAAATATATTATTATTATTATATATTATATTATATATATATATATATATATATATATATATATTTATATATATATATATATTATTATATTATAAAATATATTTATCATGATATGTAATAAGCAAAAATCGGAATAATTTTATATGATCAAACATTCAAAGCATACAAGAATAAACTTTTAACTAGTTGAAAGTGGCATTTAGCCTTAAGGCAAGTGCATGAACCGAAATGTGCAATATATAATTAACTTATTCGACCAAAATTTAAATTTAGATATTTAGATAAATGATTTGATATATCTCAAACACATTTAAATTAACTGTAATTATATTAATTGTAGTGCACAGACACATGCTTGTATGTAGCAAAATTTTAACTTTGTTATTCCAACTTGGCTTGGCGTTCTTTTTGCAAATCTGATCGCGGCTCTTTCTCTTCGAATTCATTCCAATAACTTATTTTAAATTTGTGAAACACAAATATTGACTTATCACATCACAGAAGCGAATTTTGATTCACATCAATAATATTTTTTCAAACTTTGACGAATTTTTAAAATCAAACGACTTGTCGTAGGACCAAAATATTTTAGAATGATCTATAACTAAAGACTATGATATCTATCGATGAAATCGATTCAGAATTGTGAGCTAAAATGTGGACGAAAAATTTCACATTTTTGCTAATCACAAAGAAACGGCTTGGCCGATCGTCGCGCAAAATTGAGAAACGCTAGTCCTCATCGAAATACATGAAATGGCTTTTAAAATTTTGCAATCGGTTCAGCTGTTTCTGAGAAAACGTAGACATCCATCCCCAGACAATATTAGAATACCCCGTGTTCGTGGCCATGGCCCTCATAGACCTTATACAATACATGGACTGCTAGTTGAGCGCATAAAAAGTGTCAAAAGATGTTCTATGGTATGAGGGCGTACGAGGGTAATTTTGCGGCCGAGATATGTCAAATACGAACACGAGCTTTACCGAGATTAGTCGAATGCACTCGATCGCTTAAATTTTACAGTTACTTGGGTTCACGTGATGTTTGATCGTTCGGGTTTTTAAACTAAAAGAGGATAAAAATATACCTGTTGTAAAATTGTTAAAAGTAAAATGTCTTCTAAAATGTGTAAGGTAAGGTGCCTGATTGCAGTAAAACCTGTTTTGTGCTGTTCTGTATGCTTCGCAAGTATTCCAGGAAATTCGACATTGATCGATATAAAAAATCGAGGATATCTTTCATATCCTTCCGAAGAAATGTTTAATTTATGTTTATATATAGAAAGCCTAATTCAAAATTCTTTAAATTTAATGTACAAAAGTTCATATGAAAGCATGATTCTCTGAAAGTTGAATGACTTGGGACTTGCACATTTTTTTAGATTAAGTTATTTTCAGCAATTTGTCCAGCATTATCATGACCTTATCAACTTTGTCGCAAAAATTTACTTAACAATTAGAATGCACCATGGAGAAAGAAAGAAAAGCAAAGTTGATAAATATGTACTCCGCTTTCATACGAAAATTGTGCTTTTTAAACACCAATAATAAATATATTACATTTAAACAAATATTTCATTATTGCTTTCTAATTTCCCATAATAGCTCTAGCCAACTGTCCTTATTTTCAGTGAATTTTATAATATGTAAAATATTGTTTTAATTTTTTTTTTCCTAATTTCCCTTAAACACTTTGTATAACTAAAATAAATAAATTAATAAATAAATAGTTCATTACATTCATTAGTTCAATATAAATTGTATATTATATAATATTTTGCCAACAATTTCGAACACACGGACTTTCATTTGACGTTTAAGCAATCGAGTTTGACATATCTCGGCCGCAAAATTACCCTCGTATGCCCTCATACCATAGAACATCTTTTGACACTTTTTTACTTGAGAAATGTATGGGGACTAGCAGTCCATGAAATTGTATAAGGTCTATGATGGCCCTGCATCTATCTATTCATACATACACACACATCACATACACATACTTTTATCAAATTTGGTCTCATTCGATTCAGAATGGCTTGCAGCATCGAGAAAAATAAAAGTAGCAAATCGGATTTTGTCGCGAAAACATAATCTTCCCTTTTTCGAAGTTAACAATATTACAAATAAATATTTATGAAGTTTTAAAATGATATTAAGATGGTAAAAACTAAAGTCAAAAAAGCGCAACAATAAGCATTAATCTAACTAAGTAAGCAATGACTTTTTAAATTAAAATGCTTCAATGTTGTTTAGTAATATTCTAAACAAAAAATAATTTTAAAATTTTATGAAATTAAGAGTAAAAGTGAGATTTGATTTGATTTGATTTGTCAAAAGAACAAATAATTCATGTACAATAAAACCATATGAACCTAAAATTTATATTGATATAAAAAATTAAATATAACAAAATCTCGATGTAAAATTTTCGAATTTAGGATTAAGTATAGCTTATTTATGGGACTGCCTTTTTTGTTAACTATATATAGTTATAAAAGATTTTAATGAATTCGAAAACATTCTTTTAAAAAAGCAAAATATTTTATGTAAATTGCAGAATCTCAATTCGATATTTGGACGATTACAATAACGAAGAATCAATGATTAATTTGTGAAAAACGATTGCATATCATGTATATATACATATGATATGCAATCTATGCGTTAACTATAGTTAGCTTATTTACGGGACTGCCTTTTCTGTTAACTATATATAGTTATAAAAGCTATATATAGTGATATTATTTCTTGAATAATAATTTATTTAAATGTTTTTTTCTTTATATTGGTAATAAGATATTATACTAGACAATCTGGGCATGACAATGTGGTCCTACATGTATCTACATTAATTTACAAAAAATACCATTCAACATAAAGACAAATTACTTATTTTTGGGTGACCGTATATAATTCGAAACATGCAATGCCAAGTTAATTTATGCCCAACATTCAATATTATAATTACATGATATTTAATTTAAACATAATCAAAATCTTAACATATTTATGTTAAAATATTATATTTTAACATAATCAAAATATCATTTGAACCACGTTCTAATATGTGTTGATATCATTCAATTGACCGAGTCAGCTTTGTATTTAATTAATTTTAAATATTTCATTGGCATTGACATCAAGATCCAACTAGAGCAAATGGAAACGCCCAACATGGTTATTTTTGAATGATTATAATTTTCTAGTTATTCTTATTATCATATTTATTAAATGTATATTCAATAAATTTTATTTTATTTTCTTAATCATTTTATTTCTCGACTACCCCCTCCTCCATAAAAATGTTTAAATTTTGAATATCTAAAATAATAAACTGATATTTTTAATTATTTATTCTGATCATAAAAATAGCACAGAATAATTTATGTTGAGAAAAATTTCATCAAATTTGCAACTAGTTTTGTGATACATATATGTAATTGATTCCTTATGTGCAGCAGATGATCATAAAGTTTCACCATGATAAGTCAGTCCTAAACTTTTGGCAATAAAACTATAGATATCTGTTATTTCTTCTATCTGAAAATAAATATAGTACATGTTTCATCATTTATGAAAACAAACTAGCTACATATTTTACTAACATTCAAAATCTTCAAAGCAACCCATGGCTTCATATAAAAAAAGCACTTTTCTTGCTACCTTTCCTATAGGATTACTATACTAATCATTATAGCTTCAATAATTAATTTTCTAATCGAATAGTAACAATAGACGAGAAGTGAAAATTATAGACAAGAATAGTAATTTATCAATTAAAAGGTTATGATTTTTTTTAAATTAATTAATTTGGCAGATATATAAATAAGTAAGATTTAAAATTCATAAAAAGGTATAATGTTTACTTGCAAAGACTACAATTTAATAAAAACTTAATGATTCTGTTAGTGGATGTTAGGTGATTATTAATTTATCAAATGTTTGAGAAAATCATACCATTTGGTCATTTGCAAGAAAGCTTTGACCCTATGCCCTTCCTGATTTAAAATATGTGTTATGTTGTATAACATGTATAATAATAGGGCCAAAAACGATAAAATATAAAGAGTTATTTATGTAAAGAGCTATTATCGATTCCAAAACATAAAATATTTGAATAATTTTTGGTAATATATAATCGTTCATCACTTACCACTTTAGTGGTAGGTTTTCCACCCCCGTGACCGGCACGTGTCGAAATCAAAGCCATGAGCGGCTTCTGTTGTATTGGAGAGTCACGAACCGCATGTTGCAGTGTTGCAATATACTTGAGCGTATGCAGCGGCACAACCCGGTCGTCATGGTCAGCAGTTAGCACCAGCGTTGCTGGATATTGCTTGTTCACTTCAACAAAAAAAAGTTATAAACAAATTAACTCATACATAAAAATATTAAATAAAATAAAATAAAGTAAAATTGCAGATAATCTCTTCCACCTTAAACTAAGAATTAAGAATATAAAAATTAACTCAATAGGTTAATATACTAATAAACATTCTTAACAATGATATAAACATACAAATAATATAAAAAATTTTAATGTAACGTTTACTTTTAATGATTTTTGGCACAAAAATATATATATGAAGCGTTCATATTTTTATTTTATTATTTATCTATGAAAAGCCTCTAACAGAATAATAAAATCACTAAAGTTATAATATATTTATATATAATTAATCATAGAATGAAAACAAGTTCAGCCTAATTCTCTCAAAGTAAAAGTTTATAATTTTCCCATAAGATCAGACATGCTAATTTTGGCTGCACTAATTTCAAAAATTAAAAAGCTAATCAATAAAACTCAATGAGAACCCACGTTGTCTGGTCTTCCATGACGATCTTTTGAACAATACTTAGTAGAGTATTGTAAAATTTTTCATCCATTAAACTTTTTATAAAATAATTTTTAAATATAAATATTTATAATTTAATATACAAAATTTAAAAGCCATTTGTTGCAACTCATCGAGGACTAACGTATAGTTTTGCGCAACCATCGGTCGAGCTGTTTCTTTGTAATTATCAAAACTTTGTAATCACAGTCCCAAAGAACATACTAAAATATTAAAGTCGACCAGCTTTGAAACTTTTAAATTTGTAGTTAAACAAAAAGTCTTGATTTTTCATTGATCCAGATTTTGAAATCTGGGACAATTATGTCATTATTTCTGACTGTGGTCCTAGAAATATCATTCAAGGTCACAGTTCCAAAGCTTAAATAAACAAAAATATTTTTTTTTTTTTTAATTTTTTTCATGATAGTCTAATAGTACCACTCCATTTTGGCTTAACTTTGAGTTCTGGGACACTTGTATTATATATATATATATATATATATATATATATATATATACATATATATACATATATATATATATATATATATATCAGTAAAATATATGAGTCTTATTTGTGATGCAATCAAGCATCTATTTGTTAATGTTTATAGTTGAAAAATTTTAAAATTGTTGGTAAAAAAACTATAATTGTCTATTTTAAAAATTATTGAACGATATATAAATTTCATTGGAATCCAAAATGAATAATTTAGAAACTATATGATACTATGAAACTATATAGAAATAAATGTGAAGATCTTCTCCAAAAATATTTCATATTAAAACTATTTCATACTCTTAGATATTGATTACATAGCCATAAGAACTATCTTTTTTTAAAATAAATAATAATATTACTAACCATCAGTTGGTGTTTTAATATTATGCAGTGGAGAGTAGCTCAACAAATTGTGAAAATGTTCTCTTCATCAGAAGTTCCATAATCAGATGACCAGGCATAACCAATTG